TCTTTTTATGTCTTCTGTACAATTAATTTATCTCTGTTGCTCACACTTCCAGCAATGTATGCAGTACAGGCCTGCTGTAATGAAGGAACATGGCTTATTTATATTGATACAACTAATGTCTTTTCAGCATAAAAGCAGAGCAATAGTGCAAATAAAACAACAATACAGGATATTTAGGAAACTACTAACAGCACTTACTGAATCTTTAAAGTAAAGCTACTACATATAATACAGGCCCCTGTATTGGTGCTCAATACACTGCAAAGATGTGTAAAAATGAATCAGCTTCTGTTGCAGTAGCAGGATCTGTAACTGAAAACATCCGCTTGTCTGTTCTTCCATTTTCCTGCCCGTCCGTCTGTCTAGCTTCTTTTTAATATGTTACCCAACTTAACCAATATGTCAACTTACTGGCACAAAGGCATTTACCAACACATAGGATGCAAACATAGTTGGAAAACTGGTTCAACTAAGTAAAGTGAGATACCAAAATCAAATTGGTCATAGTAATATTTAATCATCCATCAATATTGTTAGTATCAACTCAATATCTTAACTTTACCTGATTCACTTAAGACAAGAACTTACTTTCTAATGTTAGTGTGTTATCCCACCATAGTCTCAAAGCCACAGGAAATGGCAAAAATATTTAAATCAAACACAGACGTAGGGAGTAAAAATTATACAACTGAAAAAGCAGGACAAGTCAAAGAAGCAACAAAGAAGACGTCTGTAGTTCTTTGAGAAAGCAAAGATAAGAAAAAAAAGGATAAGCAAACAACAAAGGTCTGGAACTAAACAAAGGAAACTGGGCTGAAGATACTGAGGAAGAAAACTTTGGATATGAAAAAGGAATTCAAAACACAAATAATACAGTCTTAAGATCCACAGGCTGTATAAAACACACTGTGCAGTGTTCTCCTGTTTTGCAGCAGAAGGGCTTCAAAGAACCTCCAAACCAAAAGCATTGTTAACTTTAAGTCAGTCACATTTGAAAGCAAGGGCATAAAACATCCTGCCAGAATAAGACCCATTAGGTGCTTCTCACTGAAAACAAAGGAAACAAACATCACTTTCAAAGTTTAAATAAAATTAAATACATTTACATTTAAAATGAGCAATGGGTATGTCTTTAGTGGCATTAGGGTTTTTTAAATCATAGAACTCTAACAACCTTTTATTTTCCCTAACTGTTAAAACAGATGAGATCGACTCTTCAGGATCTTGCCTTACCTTTTGTCAAAGTTCTGGGAGCATTAGTCAGTAGTATCTGATTACCAAAAAAAAAAAAAAAGAAAAGAAAAAAAACACCACTCTATCATGACTTTAAGATGATAAAATCTACCATTTATAAGAAAGGTCAATTTTATTTTTTTTTTGTTGCTTAATTGCTATTAGTAAATGACACAGTGCCACTCTCAGTATGATTCACTTACTGCATGAATCTTAGATTTTATCCGGCCGTCTGGTTCGTACACCAGGCAAGTAAATAAATCAGCGACATGAATCAGTTCTCAGCAGTATGGAAGCCGGTTGTGTCCCTTTTCACTGTGGTTTTCTCAAGAAAACAAGTTAATTTTCTCATTATATAAAGATAACAAAAGCTGTTTTCTCATAACGAGATGATAATTTTCTCATTAGAAAGCAGTTTTCTCTTCATAATGAGATTAAAACTGATTACATCCTTTAATATCACAACAGCGGGAGAGTATTTCTAAGTATTAGTTATGACAGCCTGTTTGTAATTCTGTAAATAATCATGTGTTTAACTTTTAGGTAATGAGACGACACTGGTTTGATGATTTGCTTCCACTTCTGATTCATAAGCACTAAGACCTACAGTATGCCTCGGGTGTCTTAACGTCATGTGTTTTCTGAACAGCCCCGGGGTCATGGCTGTAACAGGTATAAGATGCATTAACCCCTATAATGAGTCCAGATTAAAAATTTTCATTAAAAAACAGTCAGATTTGTCCAATCATCCATCACGACCTGAAATTAGTGAAAAGAAAAAAGAAACTAAAAACCTGCACCATAGGCATGGACAGACTGGGAATCCAGGGCTGTTGGCCAGCCACATTTATTACTCATACAGGTTAGTCATCTTGTTTTTTGGAGGAATCAATAACTGTTTTCTCTTGATAACGAGACAGTTATCTTTTTATCTTGAGAAAAACATGAATGGTTTAACCGTGGTAACGAGATAGTTATGCAATTGTCTTGAGAAGGCAAAGGAAAAAAAACAAGTCAAGTACAACCGCTCTCGGCTTCCGTATAGCATCAAGCTGGCAGCGAATTTAGATCAGTCACAACCCCAAACTGATGAAACAAGGATGGAGCTAGGGGCTATTGCCAAGATTACCAGATAATTTTTTTATTTCAATGGAAAAAGCAGATCCCCTCTAAGCCAGATGAGATGTCCGAACTAGTTTCACACACTGACTGTGAGTGCATAAACGGACAAAACATAAAGTCATTATCAATTTACATCAATATACTAAAATTTAAGATGACAAACACATAATTATTGTTCTTTTCAGAACTACTTCTATTGCATTTTAATTATTATTACTATTTGAAGGCAAAGTTATGTCTCTACAGTTATCAAAGAGTTCTTCTATGTAATTAGAGACAAAAAAAAACAACTGGTCAACCCATTCAATAAGAATATTAGCTAGACCCAAATATTATTAAGACAGCGTGAAGCAACTTGATTAGCATGAAACTCTAGTCAGTCTTCAGTAATATTTTTTGCAAATGCATATGCTGTGTTTGAATATCTTCCCCTTTTTTATTTTTGGTACAGTGTGATTAGAGTAGATTGACCCTGAACTGGTTCTGGTGTGGTTTTCGTCAACCCCTCAGTGCACAATGGTCTCTGTCTAGCTAACCCTATGAATAATTTCTTGCTCCACGGCTGATATGGAAGCTCCACTCCCCAAAAGCTGACATTAACTAAACTGGGAACGTAACCGATCAGTTAACAAAAATGATTGCATTCAGTTGGCTCGTACAAATGTTTCTTTCAGTTGAAAGATTCATGAAAAAAGACAGCAGTCAAGAAAATGTCTGCCTAGTTTACAATGGCTCTGAGGTTAATACTTTTGTTGGAAAGTGGTCATAACTTCGAAAACTGGGTCAGCAACTTCCGCCTCTATATCACTTTTGATCTTCAATAACTTCATGAGAGAGCTCTGTGTAGAGGAAGCTGCCACATACTTCACACAGGATTCTGGTTTCTTCATCCTATTGACTAGCACCGTTACTTCACACAAAATGTGTGAACTAAAGCTAATTTTGACCGTCCTCCTTTGGTACAAAATTATTACTTCTTTGTGTGTGTTTTTCTCTGGTTGAAATGTCTAGGTAATGGAGTGGGAGAATTATTTTTGGCTATAGGGTATAATAGTCACCAGCTACACAAACACAGGGATGATATGAGATTAAAAAAAGAGAAGGAAATGTAATTTCATTTGCTTCCAAAATCAGACTTCTATGGCAAATATGCAAGTTTCTTTCTGTCAGTTTTGATATATTGCTTAAATATTCAGTAAGTAAGTGAATTATTCTACACCTCAAAAAGTTGAGCTTTAGTTTAAAACTGTTCTGAAAAAAACCATCATCAAAATCAACCATGCCACGTTGGAAAGATGTCCTAAAATTTTGTCATTGATAAATTGCATGAAGAAATGCTGCCCAAGCCAAGTTGCATGGCTGCTGGCTGGTCACAGTTTGCCCCTTTTTACAAGACAACCCAATGGTAACAATGCCTGTTCTTACAGATTAGACATCAGAAGATATTATTGTTGACAGATAAACGCTAGAATACTGTAAAAATTGACCACTAGAATTGGTTACAGTCAATATTATTGTGATATAGAGGCTAAAATCTCTGGACAGGTGATACCATGCACTCAGAGAGCCTATTAGGTGGACACTGTCCATGTCTTTCAGCCTGATGTGACTCCTTATTGTCACTGTTGCAGACCCATGGGTATGCTGCCAATCAAAAAATTCCAATCAATGGCTGCTCTGACTGTAGCAGGAGACAGTATGGAGGGGCCTGAGTGCTCACCTTTTAACCCCACATCACACAGAAAGCAAACAAGTCAGGAAGGGAGAGGAAAAAGAGAGAGAGAAAGAGACGAGAAGAAAGGATGAATAGCTGAAAAGCCAGATGTGGACAGGAGATAATGACAGTGGAGAGATAAAGAAGACCTTAGATCTTTACTCATCTGCCACCACAGTGCTCTCCCCCCTCTGTCACTCAGCTGATGCCCAGATGGTCCTGCATTAATTCATCTCAGAGATGAATGACAAAACAATGTCTGGCCTTGGAAAGCAAAGTCAAGGCAGGTAAGAGGACAAGATTAGACAGTTACTATCAGCCATATATACATGCCTTGCAAAAATAATTATTTTTTCAAAATTGCATGCGCCTTAATACAGAAAAGTAGCTTATAGAAATTTGACCAAAAAAATAAAACACCACAGAGCCTTTTGAGAGAGAGAGAGAAACACATTATATATATATATATATATAAATAAATAAATAAATAAATAAATAAAAGACTGTGCAAAAAGTCTTCACCTGTAGACTGTGCAAAGATGCCCCTGAGACAATCCAGCACATAATTGCAGTTTCTAAGATGCTGGAACGGAAAGCTAACATGGAGCGGCATAACCAATTGTCTGGCATAGGGCTCAGGAACATCTGTGCAGAGTATGTGCTGGAAACCCAGAGGCTAAAGTGGGAAACACCTCCAAAGGTGGTAGAGAATGACCAGGCCAAGATCCTGTGGGACTTCCAGATACAAACGGACCAAATGGTAATGTTAAACGAACCGGACATTGTGGTGGTGGACAAAAAGCAGAGAAAAGCCGTTGTGGTAGACATAGCAATATCAAATCACTGCAACATCAGGAAAAGGGAAAATGAGAAACTAGAGAAATACCAAGGGCTCAGAGAAGAGCTGGAGAAAACCTGGAAGATCAAGGCATCAGTCATGCTCATGGTCACTGGGGCATTCGGGGCAGTGACCCCGCCCCCGAACTGGAGGAGAGGCTACAGGAGATCCCTGGAAAAACACCAGACATCTCTGTCAAGAGAAGCACAGTTCTAGGAACAGCAAAGATACTGCGCAGAACCATCAAGCTCCCAGGACACTGTCAGAGCACCCGAGCTTGGAGGAAAAAGAGAGACTGCCTACAGTGTGTTATATATATATGTTTCAGAAAAAATGCCAATGTTTTCTTTTTCATCTACTTGAAAATGATACTTTCATTAAACATCCACAAATTATACTTTAAAGATACAGGTTGTAAAATCACAAGAAAATGTAAAAGATTTTGGATCTATAATTTTTTTTCATGAGGAACCTTGTTTACTTTTTATAATTGTTTAATAATAACTTTGCAAAGGATGTCAAGGAAGATGATAATTCCTAACATTTCCCATAAAAAAAAAAATAAAAAAAAAATGTAATACATTTTTTTATATCACCATGAAGCCCTTAAATTGCTAATTACATTCAGTTATGAGTATCTTAGCTCAGACTGAAAATGGTGCAGGTCAAAAACAAAAGAGTTCTTTCATTAAGGCACTTGGAAATCTAAAATGAGGTTTTAATAAGTGCTTTATCTTGACAAGGAGCAAACCAGGTGGCATCCCAAGTGATTCCCAATGAGTTATTTCTAGCATCATGTATTTATGAAAAAAAAATGTATTTCCTCTTACAGCAAATCAGCGCTGCAGAGCCTGACTGTGCCTAATTAAGGAGTCTGTATAGATGAAAAAAACAAAAACATTAATTGACATCTCCGAGACAGTTTTGTCTATTTCTTGGTACACAATAATCAACGGAGATGTCAAAAAAATTCAAGTAAACAGACGCCTGAAATTTACAAGTGCTCAGTCACGACTGTACATGTTTTTCAACTAATGAGGAGGCTTTCATTAATGGCTATTCATAAAGTTTCAAAAGTCTTTCAATCATAAGCTGAGTGTAAACAAAAATTGCTTAGATGTATTTTGGTGCATATTGCTTGTGGAATGAAGCAGTAAAAAGCCTGTTAGCAGACAAAGAAAATCAGCTCTGTCAGAGACAGAAAGAGGGCTTTCTCTTTGTGCAATGTGAGCGATTCTTCCTGACCCCTATCCAGCTTTTTGCACAAATGTGTCCTCCCAATCACAATAGATGACTTTCAGGGGAAAAACTGCATAAAAGCCATCCATATTCATTTTTAACAAATGTCTCCTGAAGAGCAAAAAGGCAGTTGGCTGGTTGAAAAGTTCAGGACTGAGTTACTTGAAGGCAAAACGAATGTGTGTCAAAGGAAAAGCAGTTTTTATTTTTTAATATTCCAGCTTTATTTTTCTTATTAAAATAGAATGACAGTTGCTTACTTGAAATGTTAATATGAGTATAAACTTAATGATTTCAATACCAGAATTTTTACTTTAAATTGGTTATACAAGTATAACCATTCTGAGGATTTTTTTTTACCTTGGTGAAATTAAACAATGTTTCATATTTTTGAAAAAGAAATATATTTTAATTGATTCATTTATTTTCTTAAAGATACTTACAAAAAAAAAAGAAAAAAAGTCCAGTTATATTAATCAAATCCTGACCACAATTAGGTTTAGGTCAGCCCAGTTAATATCTACTCAGTAGCTAACAGAAATATTTAATATAAACAAGTATTTTGCTTAAACATAAAAATGCACTTAAATTACTTAAAATTCTTGAAACATAGTCATAATTGCAATAAACATATCACAAAGTACTTCAATATTCATAGTTAACGTTTAAATCTTGAAAATGAATTGAGTTTCTTCTCATCTTCTATCTAAACTTTGAATTAGTCCAGAAACTAGAATATATATATATTTTTTTTACAGATATTGGAAAAGTCTGCTTCCCGTCTGAGCCAGATGCAAAAAAGAAGTTTAAAAAAATGAAGCAGGACTTGCCCTGATGTTGCATCACTTCTTCAAACAACACTTCAAACATCAACACTTATTGTGCAATTCTTAGGTAAGTGTATGGTTGGGACTACAAAGGTGCATCCAATGATATGAGACTAAATTATTCCATGTGAATTCTTACACACTTGTTTTAAGAAATCCAAGAACGTGAATTGAAAGAAAATATGTCTCTATTGCTGGTTTAAAGAGTCACCATCTTATAAAGCAGAAAGAATCATTTCGCATCTGAAGAATATTGGGGATTTTCATATAAATATAGTTCACAGCTCTTTTTTTTTTTCAGTAAAACACACAAAATAGCTGTTTATTTATTCCATGTAGGGATCAAGGCCTAAACAGTACATAGTGTAATGTTTCATAAAAAAAAAAATAAAACAATATACAGTGAGCCATCCAACATCACTGCCTTAAAAAGCTTTTTCCTAACGACAAATTCTCTCTCTTGATATGGTTTCAAATAATCCCCTAGAAGATTACCTACCAGTTTCAAAAGATCATTTTAAATGGACAGGGATTATATTCTAAATCAAACTGTATTAGTTTGCTAAGCCAAACGCTGGCTAAGTCTCAAAGGACAGAGAGAGAATTACTTCTATATGACCTGTTTTGTTTACATCTGTGCAGGAGCAATATTGCTGTAAAGAGCTGCATATACAATAGATAGAGACAGCCATGTCTCTGGGCATCACTCAAATGTACATGCTCTGCAAAAATTTGCCCCTTCAAATGTTTTGTCATATTTTTTTCTATTTAACTTTTAATGTATTTTTTGCCTTGTATTTATCTTTATTTTGCTTCCATCAACTTAATGAAAACATGTTCAGCATCAATACTTGAAAACAATGAAAACACAAGGAAGCTCTGTTTTATTATTTGTTCAAATAAACAATATTGTCAACAATGGGTGTTGAGGTTGCTTGAGGACCCAACAGCAGAGAGGAGTGAAGAAGAGAGGAGTTCTGATTGATTTAATTGGGTAACTAAGTAACTAAATAAACCAAACAGATCAACTGATAACAGATAACTAAAAACTCAGAGTCACAAATGGGGATAACCATAACAAATATAGAAGGGAAAGAAAAGGTTACTGCATGGGGGGGGGGTCACTAAAGTTTTGGTTGTTTACACTTCTTTTATATTCTCCCCTGCAATATTTCCACTAATTAAAATTTCTTTAAATACACATTAGCATGAATTCAACATACTGTATTAGACAGATAAATGGAGGCAGAAGATGTCTTTCAGTCATTGATGCACACATTCAGCGACACACAGCTCTTTCAAGCTGGACACCATTTCATTCACAACACCTGTCCCATCAACCAGGAATTTGAATCAGAAATACTTTAAAAATCCCTGGGTAAAATTACTTTCATTACATTACATAATTACTATATAATTAGGGGGTAGCCGCACCATCTCGGCATCAGTTTGGGGGTCCTTTGCCTGGAAAACGTTGAAGACCTCTGCCTTAAAGGATTTGTTTATTTTACTGTTCGTACATAAAACTCAGATATGGTCCCGTCATTCTCCTACTAGCAGCTCCTTCACGGTTATTGAAGGCATTTTAGCTCATTCTCTACATAATGTGCCAGAGATGGTATATTAAGTGTCAGATTCGAGCATCTTAAGTCACAAAGGACTTTAGTCTAACAGACATTCTTTTCCACATTTAATTAGCTGTGAAAGAAAGACGAATATACGCGAAGCAGCTCTGATGGGAAATTCCTAGTTGCAGATATTTTACTGTGAAAGGGTGCAAATGACTTATTGGCCAGTTGTCAGGCTGTGGACTAATGCATTATTTGTTTATGTTAGCTGTATCTTTATTATAATTAACCTTATGGATATTACTGCAGCTGAACTTTGAATTAAATGCTGTCTGTTTCACTGGACAGAACATAAATGTGCATAACCTAGTACAACATTTTCTCTCTATGCTCCTACTGTAGCTTATCAATATAAAAGCAGTTTCAACCCCACACACTGTATTTCACTCATAATATAATCTACAATATATCTTAAGACATTTTTTTTATTATTATTATTTTCTCTTTGTGTGTTTCTCTTTGTGTGTTGAATACAGAACATGGCTTCCCAACAATCTTAGAAGTCCTGTGATTTGGAGTGACCAGAAAACCTGCAACATGTTACCTGACTGTCAAGGCGGGGTGGAGGTTGAGGTTTGACAGGACCCAAATGCAGACTGAAACTGAAGGAGGTTGCTTGAAGATTTATTATCCAAAAAGTTCAACAGAAGCAAAAATCCAAAAACATAAATCCACAAAAATCCAAAAATGCTGAAAACCAGAAATAGTCACAGCAAGAAGGGGACAAAGTAATGACGACAAACCAGCAAAGAGTGACTGAACAGGAGGAGAATATATGGCAGAGAGAAACAAAGGCAAGGCTAATTAGCAGATTGGGAGCAGGTGTGAACAAAGGCAGGAAGGGAGCTAGGGAAAAGGAGACGCAAGAGGGCAAAAAAGAAATAACTAAGAACTCAAATACAATCAAAAATAACTAGAACACAAGAATGGAAATAAGACCAAGGAAAACTCAGAGATAAAACTTGAACAGAACCTAAACCATGACACCTGACAGTAGTGAACTGGTAAACATTACAGTTAAAGGAGAAAGTTCCACGTTTCAAAAATAAAAATTAATCATTTTAAGTTAAAAGTTGTGGCTGTGACCCCTAAATTCCATTTTGTCTGTTACTAGAATAAGACACTTGTGGACATCTCCTTGTAAAGTGGACATGAATTTCTTTTTAAATTTTTGGCTGCTTACCTTGTGATAATATAGAGGTTAATGTTTGGCCTTAGTAAATGCATGAAACATTTTAAAACAGAGTCATTTCTGTTATCATTTTCCATCAAATAAAAACAGAGGATGCAAGGCCAATGTGACAGGCACGTTTGCTCTTTTTGGTTTGTCATCTAAACTCTATAAGAAAGAAATATTCTACACTATATTATGGTTGGACTAATACTGTCGAGTAAGAAAGGATTAACAAGACTGCTTATAGTAGTTCAGGTATGATGTGTAATGTAGATATGTCCCTTCATAATCAGTTGAGATTTA